AGTCATGTCTAAAATTATATATATTGAATTGGAAATTTACGAGTCTAATGTGAGCTCGGGCTGGGCTACAGTATTGGGCCAAAGCTTGAGCTAAAAATTTGTAGGGTCAAGCGCAGACCAAATGTAAAGACAAAACTTAGGACCGAGGCTAGAATTTTTGGTTCAAGCTAGACCTTTTCATCTACACCTCTTACATCTCAAGTGAAACCCATGGAATGAAAGCAAACTAATATTTTAAAACATTTCCTCTTCTCTCAATCTCTCTCTCCAAGAATTTCACAACTTTCTCCCATCTCTCCCCCAATTCCCCCAACTCCTCTAATAATATACACTTGTTAAAATGTCTTAGTTAAATGTATTTTTTAAGATTTTATTAAATATTGTAAAGCTATTATTTGTAATTGTAAAATTGTTTGTTTTAAAATTTGAGTAATTAATGTAATTTAAGTATTTAATTATATTAACTAAATCAATAATTAATTGATTTATCATAATTAATTAATTAAGTTAAATTAACTAATTAAAGAACATTAAATTAATTTGATTCATTTATTCAATTAATTAACATTAAATCTGCCTAAGAATAAAATTATTAAATGTGTTGTTGTATTGTTATCAGCCCCTGCGTTGCGTGGGCACTCCGCTAGTAATCACAATAAATAAAACAAAGACAACGATTTTAAGTGGGAATCATCAAAGAAGCCAAAAATGCATATTTATACCTATATTTTCTTGACGCCACCTATTTATACCTATCTGACTATCTATCTTTTATACTATATATATTTCTTTCCATATTAAAAGGGGATCCCTGCCTGGATTGCGGTGCATTACATTTTGATCATATAATATTAATTTATATATAGTTGTGCCAAATTTAAATTCATGTGTTTTTTTTAGTTTTTAGGGTTGGTTTAAATGTTGTTTAACCCATAGTTCGGATGTATGGAATATTTCATACTCATAAATTTTTAACTCATGGGCAGATGTTCGAGATGCAAGGCTGAAATGCACTATAAGGTCAGAGTGAGGCGCGCTGTGTCAGGAGCAGGTCTCATCTCAGCATTATGTGAATTTTGAATTTACATACTGTATATCACATATGGAGTAATATTTGCTTGCACACACACACATATACTACAGTGTTTGAATTGTTAGTTACAAAAATAAATAGAAATCATATTGTTTGAAAACAGATTATTTTTTAAAACAACAACATGAGAAACATGTTCTTGATTGTGTATGTGTTTTTTACTTTTATGGTTTTCAACACTGAAACTAAAAATATGTTCTTGAATTTTGTTAGAAACATTTTTTCATTTGAATATTTAATATGATGATCCATAAATCATATCATTTTTGTTTAGGTTATGGTTGAGTTGGCTTCGAACGCCACGTAGTCACCCTATCTCTTTGGCTACGTCAGCGCTGCATCACTTCCGCGGCCCAGCCTATCTTTTCAACCACATCGACACCATGTCATGTGGATAAGCACGACCAAGACAGGAGAGCGGATGGAGACGACTCTGCTGGGATTAGGTCTTATCTCGAAAACCTCGGCGGTTAATCTCATTCCGACAATCTCGGAAGCCTCATCCGACCAAGACATGAATCATTAACTATAAAAAGGTACCTCCTACTCAAGGTAAGGGATCCGAGTTTTGACTCTCATACTGTTACTCTGCCCGGACAAGCACCGTTCTCTAACTGTTCAGCCTGACTGTCCACTACTTTCTACTGACTTGAGCGTCAGAGTATCTACACAGGGATAACTCCTCAGGCCTTTGACTTTTTCTTGGTTTCAGATCTCATTGCGCGACTTCATCCTTCCACCTTGGCTCCGCCTAATTGGTAAGGATTATTTAACAATGAACTCAGTTTTTACACTACCTAGGATCGAATAAGATTAGTTTCTATACTAGAAGATTTGTTTTTGCTTTAAAAAATAATATTCTGTTATTGATTCAAAAAATTGAAACAAGATCAACTTGTTTTTCCGTTGAAAACAAACACAAACTTCAAAACATGTTTTGTTTTTTTGACTGATGTGGCAATTCCAAAAACAAATGAAAATAAAAAGATTCATATATTGTACAACGCTCCATAAATAAGTCAATGAATTTAAAAGATCATTGATAGATGGTTTCTTTCCTACAATGAAAAACATTATAATTTTTCTATAACATTGTCAAAAAAAATGGAAGAATCATCTCTTCCAACTTAAGCCAACTATTTTGGAGCCATGGTGGTGGTCACATCGTTCCTACTTGCTCTACGTGCCCATAGGTTTAGACATGGATATAATATGCTCCATATTAGGCATATCCCACGTGTCAATATTTGAAGCCTTGAAATAAATCATTAGCTTAAAAGAAAAAATATTAAACAAACCACAAAGGGTTACTTGGATCAAACAGGATTATTGTTGCATGCCAACAAAAGTGTGTTCATGTGGAATCCATGGTTCCACACCCACACGTGTGTAGAATATTGTCCCGTTCTCTTGTGATTGATCATGTAGTTAGGGTTGCACATTTATATTCGTGCAACTTGTATATATATATATATATATGGGCCCATATATACGAAACACTAGTTAACATGCCAAGAATTCGAAGCAATCAATTCACCTTTGGATCACCACAAAGGATTTCTCATATACGGCAAGCTCCCGAGACCCCTCACAAAAGAGCAATCATTTGCAATAGATTCGAGGCATTACATCAATCGATTTTTAATTTGTATTTGCATTTTACTGAATCATGCGCGACACACGGTTACAGAAAATGTTTTCTTATCACAAAGAAGGGTCAAACCACAAACCAAACCAATGAGATAAACAAGTTTCAATAGATGTTATAGGATAAAAAGAAAAAGAAAAAACACCTGTTGAGGTGAATTATAACCAGGAAGAACACGAAAGACATCACTCACTAGTGAGTGGCAGCATAGGTTCCTCCATTGCACAACAGAGCTGCGTTCAAGATCAAACCCACAAGAAGCACAACCTCTGCCCCTCCCAGCTGCAGACCCATCTTGGCACCTTAAAGCATGAGTGCCCCACTAAGTAATACAGTCTATTTATAAATCGTCTAACCAGATTTTTCTACGAATTTTCATCCTCGATACGCATATTTACTGATTAAAACAATATTAAAAATCATCATACACAGATGTATATACATCTATATATAAATATGTTAAATTACAAATCGTACTAGGACCGTGAGACAAAAAAACCCCTTCCTTAGCCTTCCTCTTACTACCCTTCTACCCTTGTAATAACTATTATTGGGACCAGAAAAATACTACTCATCTTCCCTCCCATCACACACATAATTATTGGCTCGAAAAACCAATCTATCATCCAAATCATTATATATACTGTGTAGCCATTGCCATTGAAGAGCAGGGACTTACGCCAGATGGTGAGACGAGCCGGGCAAGCCTCTGCACATGCCGACGCAACAATTCCTGGTTTCAACTCCTGATCATGCACCGACTTGATGAAACGTTTGTCTTGGGCTAGAATTGATATCTCCATTGCTGTTCGGATATCAGCAGATACAGTAGAGAAAGACGACGATGTAGCCATTGCCATTGAAGAGTAGGGACTTACGCCAGATGGTGAGGCGAGCTGGGCAAGCACCAGCTGGGGCGTGGGTCGAGGCCTCTGCGCATGCCGACGCAACAATTCCTGGTTTCAACTCCTGATCATGCACGCTTTTCATCATAGAATTTGACGACTACCACGTCAAAAACAAATACCATCATATCAAACCCCCTGATCATCTTCACTATTCACCAATTCGTTTATGACGGCTTCGCTGCCGAAGCTACTCTCCACCTTCCCTCCTCGTCTCCTCCCCTTTTAAACCCTCCCATCTGAGTCCAGAGTTCAGACCACCTCTCCTCGTCCTCGGTCCTCGCTTATCAAAAACTCCTACCCTCTCCTTCTCTCTGTCTTTTGGCTTTCACAGGATTTTTCCCAAACACTTACTGTCTATCCGTCTCGAAGATGGGCTCCTGCTTTTCCTCCGAATCCAGCAATTCCTCTGCTTCCCCAACAGTCAAAGTCATCTCCGCCGAGGCAAGCTCCGCGAGTACACATCCCCGTTACGGTATCCCACTATCCCAGGCCCTCGAAATGGAGACGTCGCCGTGCTTCATCTGCAACTCCGACAAGCTTTTCTACGACTCCCTTATTCCACCCTTACACCCTGCCCAGCAACTCCAGCCTGGACAGCTCTACTTCGTCCTCCCCCTCACCCGGATGCAGTACCGCCTGACGGCTTCCGACATGGCAGCATAGGCCGTTAAAGCCAGTACTGCCCTCACCCATGAATCAAAGAAAATTGGTAGGAGGGGTAAGAGGATTCGAGTTTCGCCTGTAGTTTTTGAAGTGGACGTGAGAGTAGAAGAAGGTGAAGTTGATGATTGCAAGAGATCCCAGAGTAGGGAGGTCGGGGTTTCGAGATATGGGTTTGTTGCTAAGTTACAGAGAAGCGCCTCTAGACGGGCTAGACTAGCGGTGCGATCGTTTAAATCGTTTTATGCATGAGGGTATGCATATATAACTGAGATCAGTATGCTCTGTATTTTGTCTACCTGCGATCGGTCGTATGCTTATCGTCCTACGCAGGTGAGCTGAACACAGTTCGATCCCTGTTTCTCCTTTTTATTTTTCTTTCTCTAGATCTCTGGTTCAAATTTCTGTTTACTGGGTCAAAGTTCCAGCTATTTCACAAGCCTCACGATCCCATTCCCATATAGGGGTTACCGTCGCTGCTGAGGTCGGGAAAGATGAATAGTATTTTTCTCATCCGAATTATATATATATATATATATTAAAGCGTCTTCCCTTTCCCGAAATGGAATCTTACTGTATTTCGTTTTACATCAATAACTTATACATGTTAATTATAATCTCAGAAAAAAAAATATTTTTTTTTATTACATGACAAACAAGTGTCAATATTTAAGACCAGTGAGAGAGTTGATATTTTTGATTCATCTCTCTCCCATGAGCTGCGAAACAAACCCAGAACCCAAAACCGCTTCCCCCTCCTCTGCTCTGTTTTTTGGTTTGGGTTTATCAGACGACGGAGGAGGAGGGTCTTCTTATTATCACTGTTCTGGTCGCTGTTGTTATATAGTTTTAGGTTGGGTTCTATTTTTTGGTTTGGGTTTATCAGACGACGGAGGAGGGGTTCTATTTAGTTTTACGTTACACAATTGTATGAGTCGGGAGGCGGCGAAATCGTCAAAATCAATCAGTTTGGCGAAATTAATACTTGGCTTGGCAAAGAAAGAGAAGGGAAAAGATCTGAAGGTGGCTTTTTTTGTTTGCTACGAGTATGTGTGTTTTTTAGGTACTACGTTTACCCGCTTCGTATATCTATCTATTGCTGGGTTTATTTTTGGTGATTTTGAAAGGTCGGAGTGGTCGGTAGGTACGTACTAGTGGTTCTTTCTTTGCATTTTTTTCCTGTCTGTGATTGTTTATTTTTGATGTCGTGAGTTGTAGAGATATAGTTCTCTTCAATCTGCTGTTCTCTTCAATGCCGTGAGTTTAGATTTTTTTTTTTTTTGGACAGGGTTAGATCTCTCTCCCATACGCCTGAAACGTCACAAACTTACAGAGACTTTATAGCTTCAGATTTGGCTCATTTACGGAGAATGTCGCAAATCGATCTAAGACTGTAAGGATGCTAAATCGGAGAGGCTGAGGAAGGGATGGCGGCTTCGGAATGGAGAATACGCTAAGCTCTGCGATTGATGCGCGTAAGCAATTTTACTTCATCTCTATTTTTTTGTATTCGTTTCGATTTCGGCTGTTAATTTGTTGCAATGTTAATTTGGAGTTTGGTGGATCGGATTGCCTAGGATTTTTATGTGTTTTTGAAGCTTTGATGAATTTCTATGTGCTGAATCAGTGGATTCTTGCGCTGTTTTGGGATTATGTTTAAGCTGACTACAATTTTTTGAAGTGAAAATTCGAATTCCTTTTGAGCTCTGTTCGTGAAGGGACGACTTTACTTTTTTAATCCCTTTTGGGTTAATTAGTGGCCGTAGTTGGTTTTAGTCCCTTCCGAGTGAATTACTTGGATAAATGGGGTCACTCTAACTTTGGAGGAGAAGATCTAAGGCATGTCTGAAGATGAAAATGTAGGTGAAATTGTGCCTCTTGAATGACACCCGATCGAATCAAACCCCTATACTCTCCTCTACTATTTCTAAGGAGTATAAATCAGCTCATATTAAAATACTGAAAACAAAGCTTATAATTTTCCAATGTGGGACAAGTTCAAAACTAGGTTTTATAAGAGAAAAAACTAATTTTTCAATCAAGTGTGCAGGTGCAATTTCTCATGTAATTGACCAATCAAACCCATTGGATTTAATCTCTTATGAGATTAAAATCCAACACTTTTTGCTAGAAAATTTGCTTTTTTGGGGTTTATGTTTGTAGAATGGAGCCTTTTTCCCTTCATCTTCAAG